TTGCATCGTGGGCTCCCCTGCTACAATAAAGACCGCTCACGAATATTTTTTCTACACCTGTTTCAGCTATAGTCACCGGACGAGATTTTACGTTTTTATGGCGATTCATTTTGTTTGCAAAAGTTCAGTTTCAAAGGTGAACTTTCACTAGTTGTAGTAATCGGAATAAAAACTATGTGTTTTCGTAATTACGCACATCAAATCGTAAAATCTAAAAAAACTATCTTTCAAGGCAAACTATTATGTTACACGAACTCTACAACAACAAAATTTTGCAATTTCCTCACTTGGAATCTGTAGCGAAGACATTTATTTGCATAGCAAGACTGTAAAACTATAATTAAATAAAATTTACATTTTACCTTCTTCGTAGGGAGCTGTATCTGCAAAATGGGTAATTACTGTTCTTTGTCTATTGTCTTATCGTGTGCATAATGTGTATCTCCATACGGGTATACAGGAAGTTGATAAGAACTGGTGTACTTAGGAAACGTAAACGTGTGAACGTGCTTGAATAAAAGAACAAATTCAATATGCAAGTTTGGTTTATACAAAAAGTAATTGATGGGTATTTTCGTGACGTAGTTCTTTATGAAAAAATATTTTGAGGTGTTCTGTTGTCAGAAACTTCAAGTNCATGCAACAGTATTTTTTTACATATTTAAAATTCTATAGCCGACTCCCCCACCAATGAAAAGGTATATATTAAATAACATTTTTTTCTTTTTATCATCTAAGCTTTGCAACCCAATATGTCTCTATGATGCTCGAGTAAATCCTCATTTTGCATCGTGGGCTCCCCTATACAGATTTGGGACCTAGAATGAGAAAAAATCGGAAATTTGAAAGCAAAATATGCAGATTAATTAGGTAGAAAGGTGAAAAAAAGGAATTGATACCTAATTTTTAAGCAATTGATCGATATGGACCTGTTTTCTGCTCGGTTTGCTACAACTAGATTCTTTGACATTCTCGGAGTATTAGACCGCTACTCTTTCTCAGAAAAATCTTCTTCAAGCACTTGATTTTTCATTTTTGTCTCGGCAGCAAGCTAGATTTACTAAGCTGTACATGCTCTAAAATGAAGAAAGTTTGAATGAAATCAGTTGTAACAGGGCTAACATATCAACTCCAGAATAAAAATTTAGATTCACTTCAAGGTTAAACTCGCACAACAACGAAAAGTAATAGAGGGTGCCAGACGTATGAGTATCGATCATTCATATTTGCATAATTGTTTTCCACAACCTAATCTTGATGTACACCAAGCCGTCATTTCCTGCAGTTTTTCATGATTTCATTGGAGAACTGTTCGTGTAACACGAATCTCCCACTGAATCATCCTATCCATGACTAGAGGTTATGTGGCTCACAATTCACTAACGGGACTTTTATTAAACGACACTCTAGTATACCTTTACATGAATGAATCTATTTATTTCCATACATTCCATTGTCTACAGATTGTGGGAAAGAGACGGCACAATTCACATTCTTCGCTCGCGGTGAATGTATTTTTAATGAAACGTGAAACCGTTTATTTTCGTCTAAGTATAACAGCTTTTCAAATCCTCTTTCCTGTCTAAACAATAAATAGTGATTGCTTGCTTGGTACTTCAAGAAATAATGGAAGGCTAGAAACAATGACGTATCGACCAAATATAAAAGCTCTTTCGAATGACGATAAAGGCGGAGAGGAATCTATTTATAAACAAAAATGTTATGAGTTCTAGTCACATTTATTCTCTCAAATGGGCTTTTTTAGTGAGTGGAGCAATGAGTGGACTGCTAATGACCTTAAAAATGTTGAGAGAAAAAGCTGTGAACAGAAGTAGTAGGTAGGTTATATAAGTTTTTTCCGTTTCAGTGACATGTATTTTTGTAGCTCCGTAGCTCAATAAATATTGATTCTACTGTATTGCGGTATATACTGATTGATAGAGAATTCTGTACCTACATTTTACATTGATGCTATTCATTTTTTTTTCATAAGCTGGGTTTATTTGGTCGAGAGTTAATAGTTGTGAGCCACAATAAACCCTTGCAGGTTGCAGTGGAGGGTCGAATAGACCCACTCACTTTAGACCTATTTCAACCTAACCTTTTACATGGATGCGATCCAGCGGCCTTCTTATTTTTAAAACAGTGAATCATTTTTTTTCAGGCTCAGTTGCATCAGTAAGGTGTAAAATAAAATTATCATCGATCCAAATGTTCTATAAATGAATCAGCGGATTATAAAGAATCGGTATTTTTTGTTAATTTTTTCTGCTACAGAGCAATAGTAATTGTTCAGTTTGTCTGTGTTTATTGTACAGGCCCTATTTTTTAGCTGATACTACTATTGCTATCTCAGAAACGGTAGGTCCTACAAGGACGGTTAAATGGAACAAAAGTTGCCTATTTAGGGATGCAATACACTGGTATTTTCAGATCTATGAAATCATCAACGGTTTCTGAGATATTTGCAAAACTCTGAAAATGACAGATTTTATTTTTTTTTTGCTCTACCGCCTCCATTTTCAATAATATCAAAAAATTACAAACAAACTTTTTGTTTTATTTCATCCTCATTTTCTGAACAGACATTTTTGGGTAGCTACAAATTTTCAAAAGACATTTGGAAATTATGAAAGGCTTGTTATTGATACAAAGATTATTGGTCTCTCTTTTTCAAGACGACCCTGAGAGAAATTTAGTTGGATTTAAGTGAATACAAATATTTATAATCTCAATGAACGACATTATCGACAGAAGAACTCTGGATTTCAGTAACATTCGGAAATTCGAGCTCTTAATGAAAAATGATAGTAATGATGTGGTTTCGGGAAGAAACGTCGGGAAATATAGATGTTGTGATATATCAACGAATTTGTAATTATAATGACTACGAAAATGTAGAAAACAATATACAGGTCCGTATTTAAAAAACATGTATTGATGATGGAATTCAATGAACGAAACGTTGCATTGAAAAATGAGTTCACCCAGATAATAAAGCACATGGAATAAAGCAAAAAATTTCTTTGTCATTTTTTGATATTATTGAAACTGGAGGCGGTAGAGCAAAAAAATAAAATCTATCATTTTCAGTTTTTTGCAAATATATCACGAGATAGTGGTATCAGCTAAAAATACGGCCTGTATATATCAACGTGTTCTTTTCTTTGTTTTCCCCTAAAATCATTAATCATGGACCACATCCCATTTGATTTATTGGGTTAATTAACTTTAGGTTACACTCCGAACCCATAAACAAGTGTCTGATTTTTATATAAAATCATTTTAATTCCGAGGCCTGGGACATGAGCTTTACAGAGATAATTAATTGCTACAAGACGTTCAATGACACTGTAAAAGGCGTAACAGTTATGCCAAAACAGAAAGCGAATTATGTTAACAGGAATTACATTATCTGTGTCTTCATGTCAACCAGCAACTATAAAACATTTTTTATACTTACACAGGACACTTCAGGTCTAAATACAGTTAATTGCGAGAGTATTACATAAGTGGATTGTCATTTTTAATCAGGAGGCACAGTATTAGTAATATAAACAATTATGAATTGAAAAATGTGAGGATCTAGTTATTGTACTGATTTTGATGAAAGTCACTTCTTGAATATTTTATTGGATATTATTCTTATATAGAATAGATATTCATTTACCACATACAGACGATGAATATATAAAACACATTTTAAGAAATAAAAAATAAAATTTGAATTGAAGGGGTTATATTTTCAGGAGTGATTAATTTTTGGGATGACAGTGTTCCATGTAAGTGCAGTTTGTTACCTACCATTCATTTAAAGGAGAACTCATGTGATTGACATCTGATTTTTATCTTTCTTTCAAAAAAAATAAAATGTTCTGAATGGAAGAAATATGACATGTAACATTTTGATAATTTCAAAAATCTGAATAGTCTTACATAGATAGACGACATATGTATTGAAAATTCACAATAGCAATAAGAAGTAGGTGGATTTGTAGTCTTTATCTGTACTATTAAAATGGATACTTTTTTCACAGTATCTGTCAAATTCTTATAAAAATTGATACAATTGTTATTTTGAGTATTCAATATAAATAAACTTGGTTTTTTACACTAGTAATATCATATAAAAGTTATCACGATAAGATTAACTTGGCGCAACGCAGTAAGCCATCACGCGACGGGAGACGATGCGCGGAGGTAGAAGGGCGGCCGAAGCAATGAAGCGCCATCGCCGAGAACGAGATCCGAACGCGGGCAGACGCGTGAGGGCAGACGTCGTCGATAGTAGTGTTAGTTTTACCATGATATGTGCCATGATTCTTATCATGGCACAATAAACACATTAAGAAAACTCAATTGTCCGGAAGTAGATTAGTTTCTGTGTAAAGAAAATCATTGGTATAGTCCCCAATATGTATCTATAGAGTGAGTTCTAGATATCTGTCCCCATCCGATAATTCCATAATTAAGATGAGACTCTACTAGACTCTTATGTAGAATAATATTATTATCAATATCATGAATAGTCGTTATTCTCTGAAATTAATACGATAGACAACTCAGCTTTCTCAATATGATTCCATTTTAGATGACTAGGATTATGCCAAATTGATTGCTGTCTATACCTTTTGGGTTTTTCAACTTCCGTATTACGATTTCATATCCTGGTAAAGAAGTGTCATAGAAAGTTAATGGCAAATAAAATGTTCTGCTTGAGTTTATTATCAGTAGTCTATAGTCAAACTATGTTTTATAGTGACAACGATCCTGTTTTATTTATGTGTTAAGTTATACCAGTTATGTTAACTGCAGAACGTATGACTTCTGAATGATTTTGAACAAGGAAATGTATTGTTAAAGTAAGGAATGAACTGAATTGGTCCCAACACAGTTTCCTGGGGTACACCACATGTGATCAACTTCTCACTACTTAGATGTTCCCATTTATTTGACAAATAACTTGAAATTTGTACTAATGAGTTTCTTTTTTTTTTCAGAATACTCGCAGTGGTTTGGATGAGACCAGAAGATATTCTTGTGGCAACATAAATAACACTAGGAGGACATCGCTATGTTTGGATCGGCGGGCAAACCTTCCTGTAGAAAATATTTCCAGCCAATCGAAGATAGAGACTTTGGAATGGCAAATCAAAGAGGTCAGTGTAAAGAGTTTTTCAAAATTCGCCGTACTCTTAAATAGAAAAGCCCTCGACAGCCAATGATTTACTGTCATCAATCTGGCCCGCGACAGCCAATGATTACCTAATTGTTGTTACTATTGCTGTGATAAGGTGAAGAAGAAAACACAGAATGATAATTACTCGGTTTTATTTACTAGCAAGGTAAAACTCAACGACAGAAATGATGACAAAGAAAACTTAATGAATCACAGTAAAACAAAAACACTAATGAGATTTATCACAATACACAATAATAATTGAAATGCAAAAAAAGCGTAAGTTTGCTTAGGTCACGCACTTTGCGACTATCCTAGTCTAGAAATATAGTTAAGAGCAGAAATTCGCCCTTGGAACAAACTGAAAAAATCATTATGGCCTGAAGGCTTCAAAGTTTGGAGACCCCTGCTTTAGATGAACTTTGATATTCGAACATACTCGAACTTGAACAATTTGATTTTTGTTTCAAACTAAACATATCGGTTCATGAATAAAATGCTCAATGTTTTTCAGACATTCGTGATGAATGATAAATTATTATTAATGGTTCATTTAGTAAAAATAATGAAAATTCTGTCAAAACTAGGTGCGATCATTTTGAATGAAGTGACTCATATCAAATCAAATCGTATCAAACATACTTTATCGTCTGAAGAACGTAATTCTCATTGACAGGGTCGTTTACAAATAAAAAGAAGAAACAACGATCATCTTTAGATTAGATATCTATCGATATGATAAATATCGGTAAAAAAACTTATAGTTATTATAATTGAAATACATCAGACGCACAAATAAATCAAGAAAATTTGGTACATTTTCATCGTACTGGTCAACTCAAATATAAAATACAAGTACTTCAAAAATAGTAAAAGTAAACTCTAAAACTTTTCAATTAAACATTTTCTAATGGAAACTCGATGTAACAGACGCTGTATAACCTTCCGTTGTTACCAGTTTCGAAAACAAGATTGACAATCATCTTCAGATGCTGTGATGCACTGTATGGAACCTTGGGTGTAGTAATAAATATTACTTGAGTTATTCCCAACACCAAACCGTTATTTTAACATCTCGGCACGTGTTTCGATCACCAAGTGATCATCTTCAAGAGGAATATCAAACTAACAGTTAGTTTGACACCTCGACACGTGTTTTGATCGTCAAGTGAGCATTTTCAAGAGGAGAATCAAACTAACAGTTATTTTGATATTCCTCTTGAAGATGATCACTTGGTGATCGAAACACGTGTCGAGGTGTGAAAATAACGGATTGGTGTTGGGAAAAAAATCCAGTAATAATCTTCAGATGCTGCTGAATCATATAATTTTTTATTGTTTCTTTGTAGGTGCAAAAAAGTCGGGATATGTATAGGGCGGTGATGAAGCAGGTCGTGACTTATTTGGAAAAAACGCATCACAGTTTAGAACTGTTAGGAAGCAGGATGAGTCGCCGACACTCAGTTCACAGGTCAAAGAGTGAACATCAACTTGAACACAGTCGAGGATCAATTGACATTTCTCTACAACAAACTGTCAACAGGACGTTGGATGAACACCAACTGAAAGACATTCAGTGGTAAGTATATATTTGATCAATGATTTGGTCCAGATGGATCCCAAAGGGTCAACGAGAGTCTCGGCAGGGGTCTACGTTGGCGTGATAAAAAATTGGGGTTCATAATCGAAAGGGGGGGGTCCATACGTTCACCATACGGTCAACATTCAATTTTCCTACATGATGACTTTGAGAATAGATTTGAAGATATTCTAACGATGGAAATACCACCATGTATCATAAACCCATCCCACCGGTAAAAGCGGAAGGAATTTGGTATACAGATCGCTCAAAACCCAAGAAGGAACGGGAGCCGGTATATACGGAGGCAGAGCAAAGAAGAGAACGCACTCAGCCTCGAACGTAATGCAACTGTGTTCTAGGCAGAAGTAGCGGCCATCGAACACTGTATAGGGAAAATAAACAGGCAGAAGGTCACAAATAAAACCATTGCCATTTTCTTCGACAGCCAGGCGGCAATTGTGGCGCATTTCAAGTATTCTCAACACTGGTGGGAAGCTCAAGGAGCTAAGTACCCAAAGAAAGAGTCACTCTAGCTTGGGTACCCGGACATGAGGGTCACAAGGGCAATGAGGAGGCCCAGAACCCTTCTGCGGGGTAGCCAAAAGCACGTAACGGGTGATTTTTAAGAGATATAGGATTTGATTTTCAAAACAACATAAATATTTGAAAAAATTGATGAAATCCTTATTGGAATCGATAGAACGATCAATATAATTTATTGTTTGAAGATGATTTCATGCAAATGTTGTCCGCGGCTCCGCTTTGGATGGCCCATGCGCAAGGTCCAATTTTGGCACACTCTCTCTAACATATCGACCGGTATTTCACGTATAAATGCTTAAATATTGGCTTCTAGAGCGTCAGTAGTTACTGGTTTATCCCTGTAGACATGAGTCTTAACATGACCCCACAAGAAATAATCCAAAGTCGTTAAATTACACGATCTAGGCGGCCAATTGACGAGCCCCAAACGTGAGATGAACTGTTCACCGAAGGCTGCTCTTAATTGGGCCATTGTTTCGCATGCCGTATGGCATGTGGCACCGTCTTGTTGAAACCACATGTCAGGCATGTCCAATTCTCCCATTTTGGGCAACAAATAGTCGTCAATCATCACACGGAAGCGCTCGCCATTCACAGTAACGTTCCGGCTATTTGTCGTCTTTGAAGAAGTACGACCCGATGATACCACCGACCCATAATCCACACCCAACAGTGACTTTTTCGGGATGCATCGGTAGCTCTTGCAATGCTTGTGGTTGGTCTTCACTCCAAATGCAGCAATTTTGCTTGTCAACGTATCCATTCAACCAGAAATGAGCCTCGTCGCTGAACGCGATTTTTCGATAAAAATGTGGGTCTTCCTCCAACTGTTAGACGTTGTGGGAGGTCGTGTGGCTTCAATTCTTGCACCAGCTGTATCTTATAAGGTTTTACACCCAAATCCTTGCGCAAAATTTTCGACGTAGTGGATTAACAGAGGCCCAATTGATGAGAACGGCGGCGAATCGACATTTCACCGTCATCACGAGCACTGGCGGATACAGCCGCAATATTTTCTTCGGTCCTCACTCTACGTATGCGTGTTGGTGGTTTAATGTCCAATAATGTGAACTCTGTTCGAAATTTAGTCACAAGCTTCCGAATAGCTCCCTCAGTAGGCCGATGCGAGCGCTTTCGACAGTTGGTAGTACTGTCATCTTCTGGCACTCCTCAAACTGACTGACAGTTTGAGGCTTCTCTCTGCATTGCAAATGCAATTTCTCTGTATTGGTTTTTTGGCCTTTGAGATGCCGATAGCTTTAACTGTTCACAATACAGGTTACTTCGACTCCACCCAATTAATGATTTTGAAAATAAACATAACATAAAATATACAGTAAGGGTCATTTTATTCTATTTTGTCATTCACTAAATGACCCGCATTCGATTCTAAAAGATTGAGTTTCAAACTTTTCTCTTCTAAATGTAGTCGTGCTTGAAGGTGGTTTGCAAATGTGGAATTGGTCTTTCCAATCAAGAAACTACTTATATGCTCTTTAATTCTTCAAGAAGAAGGTCTCCACGTTTGGCCAATATAAAGTTTTGAGCAAGAGCCACAAGTAAACGTATATACTACTGATTCTATCATCTGAGTTGTCTTTATTGTTTTTAATAAATTTTCTTGTAATTGATATTTGTTCTGTGAGCATTCCTTTTTTAAAAACCGGGGGGATATTATTTGTGAATTCACCAAGGTATAACATTGTCCTATAGCGGACGCTATCATTTCTTGAAGATGGTTAGACCTGGTACATGGCTTGTTTTCGTAGTTTCTTAGAAAGAAGAGCTCTTTTTTTTAATTCTAACTTCATTTTTTGTTCAAGGTTTCCACAAAAAGTGCGTTACTTCGAAGCATGCTCCACAACAACAGCGACTACAGTTCCCTCAGCATCACCCTCAATCGGGATTCCATGATGGAAACTATTTCTCCCAGTGAAAGTTGTGACAGACAGGAAGAAAAGAGAACCGTCGATAATGTTAAACTGTGGCAGAAACCATCATCTTTGCCTCCGTCCACTCCGCAACATAAGAGATGGTTTTCTTCGCCAGTTGAAGAACCTGCAAGTCAATCTATGAAAGTTTTATGGGTGTAATCATGAAAACCGAAGATATATGGGTTGTGAAATGTCCAGTGAAGTTGCCTTTCTCTACGGTTATTGAACGGATCATGTCATCAGGTTACTGTGAAATGAATTACAGTAACTATATTGTGTAATATGATTGTTCCAAGGGGATTTTGAAAATCGGTCCTTCTTCAATGCACAGATAGTTGTTCTATTTGATATACGAACAGAATCTCATTTTCCTGGAGCTAGGAAAATGGGTGATCTTTTCTACTCGAAGCTGACGTAAAAGTGTATATATTTTTTGCAATGATTCCCAATCAGTCTACGCCATTCTGTGTAGAACCTTAATATAAAACATATCTATTTATATATTATGTGATAAATTATTTTTAAACATTTCTGACTTGTATCGCATAATTTTGTCACTTTTTACTTGGTAGGCTTGAATTGAAATAAATTATTATGAATTTCTTTTTCGATTCCAAAACCCATAGGAACAAGAGCTGTTCCTATGGGTTTAGACGGATGGTGGGGCCAAGCCTGGAATCACATTTCGAAAGCTTAAGCTGGGACCTTTTTTTTTGTAGTGGAATGTTTCTCAAATTTCTGATAGTTGGTCACAAGGGATCCAATTGTAGTGTAATTTTATTCAGGCAAAAACAACAAAAGTAATGTAGCAATCGAGTTGAAATTGAAACTAATGGTGAGTAGTAGAATTGAAAAATTATGGAATTCGTTAAAAAAAATTCGTCAATGGTCTAGAAGGTTTTGGACACAGTAAACTTATATACAGTAGTCCCACTTAGCTTCGGCCCCTTTGATGTTGGTGTCCAGGAGTTTCAGTTTTTACAATGCTGACCTATTCAACACTAATGACATTTCTCCCTACTACAATCTCAACCAAAGCGTCTCAACACTGCTCAACATAACTACTATTCATATAAACTGCTCAAAAAAATACAGTCAATTTTGAAACACACACACTTGCAGATCGGTTTCGGGCTCATTAGCCACTCGTCAGTGCGAGGTAGTGGCCATCATCGACCTAAAGTCAATGATATTTCATGAATGAATATCCCCCTCCCATGCCCCCTCCCTGGTTGAGTGCCCTGAAGTAAAAGCTTCGCCCCACAACTAATTTGCGAGGAAAACTGAGTTGTTGTGCGATCTGATTCTATAGAACACGCTTTCTGCGTGTTCTCTCATGTACACGTCCACATATTGCGTGTCCAGGTCTAGGTCTCTGTACCTGTTTGGTACATAATATGGTGTGTTTACGGGGGCCCTTACCGTCGCGTTCATAAACGATTGTATCTTCTTCCTGTATGTCTGTGCGTACTGGCCCCAGGCAGTGCAAGCATACAGTATTATGGGCATGAGAACGGTTTTGATCATCAGCAACTTTACTTGCCAGCCCATGTTGCTTCTGCGTCATATAATAGGTGCCAGGCATTGTCTGGCCATTCCGATTCTCTGCCGTACGTGAGACTGACATGTTAATTTCCTGTCTAAGATGATCCCCAGGTATGTCGCTTTGTTGTTCCACGGAATATCTTGTCCGTTGAAGGTGACGCTGCCTTCTGGTTGTACACGCCTGCGAGTGAACAGTATCGCCTGACTCTTGTCTGGGTTTATACTGATCTTCCACAGGTTGGCCCACTCCTCTAATCTGTCTGCCTGTTGCTGCAAATATCTCGTGACATGCGCTTGGTTCAATGATCTCGCCAGCAGGGCCGTGTCGTCCGCGTAGAGACGAAAGGAATGCTCGTTGCGGGACCCCTGCTTCCAGTAGTCGAATTGTTGATAATTCGTCTCCTACTCTTTAACGGCATCGCCTGTCAGCTAGAAGAGACTGAATTAATCTTACCATTTTGTGTATCCAAAATCGCTCATCTTGGCCAGTAGTCCGTCATGCCAAACTCTGTCGAACGCCTTGGAGACGTCTAAGAAGATAGCTCTGGTGTTGTGTCCTTTGCCGAGATTTAAGCTTTCGGTCGCAAAGTCTACTACCCTCAGGACTCATACCTCTGTCGAGTGTTCTGATCTAAAACTTAATTGTTAGTCCGGGAGGATTCCTAGTTCTCTGGTTTGTTCTTTGAGTCTCTTTAAAATGACACGTTCCGGCACTTTGCTTATGGAAGGCAGTAAGCTAATTGGCCTATGATTATGTGGGAAGAGGTGGTTCTTCTTGGGCTTCGGGATGTGGATAACCGTTGCCTCTTTGAACGGGTACGGGAAGCGCTGCAATCTGAATTGAAAATCGTCGATGGTCATCGTCGTTTTAGTCAGGCTGGAGCCTTGCTTTCTTACCCTTTGGGCTGATTTTCGTCAGAGGGACGAATGGGTCATGACTGATTTGTGATAGTGGCATGAAAGTCCTCAGACATC